AGCTGCACTGACCTGCTTCCGCTTCGATCTCGCATGATTGGCAAGGATGTTAAAGCCAGCCCCTCTGGCCTTCTTGTCCCATGACTTGAATTGCGACTCCACAATGTGAGTCTCGCATACCCCAATGAAATCGTACGACGACTTGACTAAGAAATCCCAAGCTTTCTTGGACATCACTGTGACATTCGAGAAAAAGAATGAGCTGGATGTCCTCCCCTCCTGAGGCTGCTCAGGCTGCTGCTCCGCCGATGACTCAGTCCCTAGTCACAGGCCACCAGCAGGGTCGGCGCCTTGGACACCTCCGTGAGCTCCTGGCACCACCGTGCCCTTGCTGCTGCCGTCGCCGTTCCCCTTGCCCTTGCCCATGGACTTGCCCAGTGCCGCCTTCTGCGCGGCCAGCGCCTCCCGCTGAGCCGCGAACTTCGCGGCGGAGAGCCTCGCAGCCTCCTTCTCGATGTCGTCCGTACGGGCCTGCTCTGCGGCCTCGGCCTGGGCGGCGGCATGATCGGCATCCGCTGGGGGTGCCTCCGCCGTGGCTCCGCTTCCTGCCGCAGGTGCAGGTGGGGCCGTCGGCTCGCCGCCGCCCGGGGCCGCCTGGCCCTCGCCCATGCCCGTCTTCCTCTTCTTCTTGTTCCTCTCTTCGACCTCCTTGCGCACAACAGCGGCCTTCTCCAACATCGCCTGGATGTCCGCCTCCTTGGCGCTCAGGGTGGCCTGAAGCTCCTGCAGCTGCGTGTGTACTAACCGTAGCTGCTCGCGCTCCTCATCCTCGCACTCCAGGTCGTCGAGGCCCTGGAACAAGGCCTCGTTCCACGAGATCCTGAAGCTCGGCGTGCCCTCGACGACGGGGCTCGCGTCCTTGGCGGTGACACTGGAGGACATGATGCCCTCGACCCTTGCCAGTGCCTCGACGGCTGCACGTTTGGCCTTCTCGGCCTGGGCCAGTACCTGCGCGGCCTGGACCTCCTTGTCGATGGCGATGGCGAGGCTGTCCTGGAGCCTGACCACCGCTGCTACTGCTTGCGAATGTTTGGTATCTGCATCACGCCACGCGCCATTGGCGCGACGAACTGCTTCGGCTTCCCCACCAGGGGCGGTCGTCTCGGGGCCCTTGGCTAGAAGCTTGGACAACTCCTGCGAGACCGCCGCCTTGAGCGCAGCCGACTCCGACTTCTGGACGACCTGCTGCAGCAACGTGTTCAGGTCAGACTCCTTGACCCCTGGGGTCGCAGACGCCTCCGAAGAGTTGGTGCCTTTACCCCCACGTTGAGTCTTCGGCACGTAGAGCTTGACCTTCCGATTGCAGTGAAAGCAGCAGCCCTTGTTCTCCTGCAGGCGGTGATTCCACTCGAACTTGTGGCACCCCTTGCATTGTGAGTACGCACGGCTGACGGTCGTCATGACTATCAATCTGCTCCCTGTTTTCGTCGACACCAGCAAGAGCCGTCGATGGCAGCTCTATGGGTGAAGTCCCCCAAGCACCCCGTGGAGGCACAGGCGAGCTGCTCGCGCAAAATGCTCGAGCCACAATGCTTGAGGGAGGAGGAGGAAGGAGAGGAGGAGGAAGGAGGAGGAAGGAGAGGAGGAGGAGGAGGAGGAAGGAGGTGGAGGAAGGGGAGCGAGAGGAAATGGAGGAGGAGGGGTAGAGAAGGGAGCAGGAGGAGGATGAGGAGGAAGAGAGGAGGAGAGGGGAGTCAGGAGGGGGTCAAATTGAGGAGGAGGAGGGGGAGGAGGAGGAGGAAGGCGGAGGAGGAGGAAGGAGGAGGCGGAGGAGGGGACGGAGAGGCATGGAGGAGGATGACGCCGGGAGGAGAAATGGAGGATGGAGGGGGAGGGAGGGTGAGGAGGAGGAGGAGGAGGAGGAGGAGGAGGAGAAGAGGAGTGAGGTGCAGGAGGGGGAGAAGTGGAGGAGGAGGAGGAGGAGGAGGAGGAGAAAGAGGAGGAGGAGCAGGAGGAGGAGCAATGGAGGAGGAGGAGGAGGAGGAGGAGGAGGAGGAGGAGGAGGAGGAAGAGGAGGAGGAGGAGGGGGAGGGGGAGGAGGAGCCGGGGCTTTGGGTGGCCTCTCCTGCCGCCACCGGGCGACGCGCCGCGTGCTCGCGGGCATCGCGCCTCCTCAGTCCTTGATCCAGACGCGGGTGGACTTGAGGTTCTCCCACTTCCCTCTGTAGGGGTTCGTCCTCGCCGACGGGCTCGGGTCGATCGAGGAGGATCGAGGGTCGACGATGCTCGTGGGCATCTTGGGGCTTCCCTGGGCCTCCCGTGGCGCTTTCGCGTCCACGACTGGGCCTGCCTCGAGATTCTGGCCAGAAAGCATCACATTGCAACTCAATCACAAGCAGATCCCACCATCCCTGCTAGGTGAGTGTCTGGGGCCGTTGGCCAGTAGCACGCAATATGACGTAGGCAACGTGCAACACGCACTAAACAAGAACACGGAACCGTGATGGAGCGTTGGTCACAGGCCACAATGCTCTGATACCCCAAATCAAATCTAGGCTTTCCTGCGCGGCATGGGACACATGAGTGGCACGTAGGAGATCGAAACGAATCGCGCCCCATTACGTAAAATGCATCAACTCACGAGGGCCCGCCAATCACAAGCCACGGGACACAGAGCTCGGGCACCCGATCCAAGAGTCCAGGGTGCTGTGAATTGTGTGACGGTGGGTACTCGGCAAGTGGCGGTGACTGGCCACAATAACCCACGAGCCAGGGGACTCGGACACCCAGCTCGATCGGGGCCCACGAGCCACGAGATGACGGCGCCTGGTCTAGATCTCGGGCGCCTCAGCTAGAATGGAAGGGTGTGCGGGCGGCAGTGAGGAGTTCAAACCGGCGGGCCTGAGGCCAGGGAGCGGCGCACCCCAAAAAAAATCCTGGATGACACTCCCCCTCGCGCCTGCTTTGCGAGCAAAGTAGGGGTATGTACACTCATTATGGCCCGAAGGTAGAGATTCGAGGCCAACCATGTAGTCTGAAGCTTCGACCTCCTCCATGAGTCCAACCTCGGCGGCCCCCAAGAAGGCCCCTGGTGCGATGACTAAAGTCGGGACCTGGCCGACTTCAGACAACCAACGCACTCCAACCACGGCATCCAGAATATGTCCATCGTGCGCAACATGTCCCAAAGGACTCGCCCCCTCCCAATCACGTGAAAACGCGTTGTAAAACATGCGCCAGCCTCCCTCACCGTATGTTCACTGGACACGTCGCTCCCCGCGTCGCCTGCACTGCAAGATAATATGTGCAAGTATCCCACCTGTCACGCAGCAACGTCTCGTGGACGTGCCCAGTCCTGCTTCTCGCAAGCAACACCCAGGATGGCAGGCGAGACTTAGTTGGCAAAGACGCTGCGCCATGCACCTCAGCCAGCGAATCGCCGCCTCCGCGCGCCAATAACTCGCCGATATCCCTGGTCACGATCATCACAGAGCAACACCCGCCCGGATCTCCTCTCGTCGTACCCGGAGATGGCCAGCGGGGGTATCTTCACCTGGCCCGTCTTGTTGCACATCACCATGGTGCCCTTCAAGATTGCTCTCCTGGAGGGGGGGGTCATTCGCACGGAAAGAGTAAACGACAAACTGAATGAAAGACACAACAAATCAGAAACTGCAGAACGAAGAAGGTGACAAGACTCACAGGCCTCCTGCCACCCATCAATACAAACACGATCCAACTCCAAGGCATGCGACAGCACAGAGCTATACAGATGGCTGGAGCATAGAAGCGCATCAAGTCGGGCTTACCTGAGGAGAAGTAAAGGGTCAAGTGCCTCGGGTAGTCGCCCGTGCTTTCAACCGACGGCCCCCTAGACTTACAAAATTGTGTGTGATCGGGGTCACCAAGCTGAGTGCCAGCTCAAAGTGAGCGTCTGTCGCTGAGGACCATGGCGGAACGGCTGAGGCTGAAGCTTGAACTGAATACACAGAACGGCGAGGACGAGAAGGATGAGGAGGGACCAAGCTTAATGTTCAGAATGCGAGTGTGAGTAGTGGTATCGAGCACCGGCGTATTCCCGTTCGGGCCGGGGCCACCGTTGGAACGAGAAGGAGGCGAGGAAGGAAGAAGATGATAATGCTGAGGATAAGAAGGACCACCAGGAAGACGGGCAGAAGAGTTATCAGCAAGAGACCAGGTACATGAATCCATCAACATCGGCAAACACTCGGGCGGGAGGGGGACACGAGAAAGCTGGCAAAAGTGACAAGCCGAAGCCCCACAGAAGCGAAAGGGGTCAGGGTTTAGGGAAGTCAGCCGGGGCCAGATGGAGCTCGAGACAAGTGAAAGATACTCGCTGCCCAGACATCCAACTGCTCGATGTTTTCGAGATACGGGTCCCCGACCTCTTCCTGGGGACGGGTTGATCATCTTAGGTCATATGTTGATGTAATTGGGCACCCTACCTTGTCACAGGAGGACCAGCATGGCGAAAACACATGGCCTTCTCGTTGTTCTTCGAGCCGCCAGAAATCTGGAAATGTCTGGGATCTCTGGGGAGGCTTGAGGTGGGCTGTGAAAAACAAAGGGCCAGCCCGATCGACTCTTCTGGCTCCCCTGTGAGCAGTCCTCCACTTTCGGCGGATGGGCATTCTCTTGTAATACTGCTTCAGCAGAGAAACGGAGTCTCTCTTCCATCTGACCTGGATCACGCGCGCCGCTAGGAAAAATATACGCAAGCAGCGAGACAGATCAACAGATGCAGAAGGACAGAGAGGTAAAGATAGAGGGGCAGAGAGGGAGAGAAAGAGAGAGAGAGAGCAATCAAAAAAGGAAAGAAAGAGGGAGAGAGTGAGAGAGTTGAACCGAGAAAGAAATGGAGTGGCAATTGGCAATGCGATTACAAATCTAAATATGTGTATACCGATACATAGAGATATACTAGAACCGTCGCGCAAGCTTTACGCGAGCTCAGGTTCTAGCGCAGACCGAGGGGCCGACAGCGCTATCAAGAACAAGCGCGTGACATAGTCGTACCCGTCCTCACCCGCATCCTCATTCCCGTCCTCACCCTCGGACTCATCATCGTCCTACTCATCGTCATCATAACAATCACCGTGTTCACATCTTAGGCATAATCATAATCAACATCATCATCAGCAGCAACAACATAACGGAGACAGCAACATCTTGAAGAGCAGCATTCGCCCAGTGCTGCTAGCCATGCCGTCTCGTCAAACTCGAGCATCATCATCACCAACACCTGTCCTCCTCCTCCTCCTCCTCCTCCTCCTCCTCCTCCGCCTCCGCCTCCGCCTCCGCCTCCGCCTCCGCCTCCGCCTCCGCCTCCGCCTCCGCCTCCGCCTCCGCCTCCGCCTCCGCCTCCGCCCCCCGCCTCCGCCTCCGCCTCCGCCCTCCGCTCCGCCCTCCGCCTCCGCCTCCGCCTCCGCCTCCGCCTCCGCCTCGCCTCCGCCTCCGCCCCGCTCCTCCTCCTCCTCCTCCTCCTCCTCCTCCTCCTCCTCCTCCTCCTCCTCCTCCTCCTCCTCCTCCTCCTCCTCCTCCTCCTCCTCCAGTCCTCACCGCCCTCGGGGAGTCTCGTGCGCTCCCAGCCTCTCCCCCCTCGCCCTCCCGCGGTCTGCTGCCAAAGCGCGCGGGCGCGGCGGCCCGAGGCCGCTCGCGAGGGGCCCCCCCCTGAGGGCCTCCGGAAGGCGCCCAGGAGACCCCCGCGGGGTGCGTCCGTTGGCCTCCGGGCCTCTGCGGGGCCTCTGCGGGGCCTCCCTCCGCAGCAGGGCCTCCCTGAGGGCCTCCGCGGGCCCCCGGCGGCCGCCGAGGGAGGGCCTCCCGAAGGGCCACCGAGAAGCGCCCGAAGGACCGCTGCAGAGGGTCTCCACAGGGCCCCCGCAGGGCCCCCGAGCGGCGCCCCGCGCAGCGCCCCAGAGGGCCTCTGCAGAGGCCTTCCCTAAGGGCCGTCGGCGGCCTCCAAGCGGCGCCCGCGCGGCGCGCGGGGAGGGGGCGCGATTCTGGAGGCTCCGGGCGGCCTGGTGGAGCGAGTGCCAAGAGCCGAAGGCGGCGGGCTCCTCGGAGGCAGCGGCGCCTGAGCCCCGCGGCGTCCGTGGGCGGGGGCGGGGAGCGCACACGCGTACACTTAAAAAGTGTGAGCACTGGCCCGTAACATGGTATAAATATGCAGGCACATCTCGCGCTCGCGAACCTGCCCCCAATGTCCGCTACACTGTGCGCGGCGACCGTCTCGAACACAGTTTTGAAATCCTGTTCCTGTCCCCGAGGGGGGGGGGGGGGCGCGGAGCAACGGCGCGCAATGGCCAGCATGAGCTCTCGAAGGACCGCGCAGATTTGCTTGATCTGCGCTGGACCTCCCTCCCATGCGCGCGGAGCGCGCCATGAGCGGCGTCTCTGGCGCCGCCACGTGAGGGTCCAGGGCAGGCCCAAGAAATCCGCGCGGGCCTTCGACCGAATATGTTTACAGAAGGTGCGAGTCCACAAGAGTCTTTGCACGAGGAACCCAACCCTGAAGCATCAGGCCGTCCATGGATGTTTGGTGTGCGAACGTCGCGCTTTCCTTGGCAAAACCCTCGAAACCCAAGACACCCGGGCACCCTGGAGGCAAGCAGGGTGTTTCTCGGCATGGGCCTCCACTGTACGTTCATGCCGCGTTTCTTGCTCGATCGACCTGGGCCGTACCCTGCTCGCCGGCTTACGCGAAGGCAGGGCAGTCGGCCGTCGCCGAGACTCCCCAGAGCCTCGGGCGGCGGCCTCTCCTGGTTCAAGGGCCCCCCAACTCGCGCGTCGCGCTGCGCGAAGCGCGTGGCGCGAATAACTTCGCGCCCCCGCGCCCGCCCCAGGGGGAGGACAAGAAGACACGACGACGCTAGAGCGTCCGCGCGGGTGCCCTCCGCATGGCAGGCACATCGGCGCTGGATTGGGGACTTCCGCGCGAAGCCTCCGGCGCCTCCGATGTTCCCCCTGGAAGGAAGACAAATCAGCTCCCGAAGCCGTGTGATCGACGCCGAGGTTGACTGGTGCATGCGGTAAGCCGTCGCCTCCAAATACACCGAGGAACTGGGAGGCAGACTTGCCCAGTCTAGAATTAGAAGCCACAACTGCCGCCCAGTCCTCGGCGGCCGAGCAGCACATGGCTATCTG